CACAGAAAGGTGCCCCAGCACTGGGGATCCATGTGTCAGTGCACAAACACCCCACAGAGCGTGCCATGAAGACACTGAGAACACACAGCCCTTTGAAATGGGATTCAGAGCAGTCAAGCTATTCCAGAGACAGGGGAATTGGTATGGAACTAGAGTGGGGATGAAAAAGTGAACCATTATTATGGCTGCTTCATGTTTACTCCCTGCTATTATTATCACTATTAATTATTAATGATAATTATCGCTTATATCTTAATTATTAATGATATATTAATTGTTAGTATTATTTCATTAAGAATAATGAAAAATATAAATCATTTCCAAGGAGTACCAATTTGCACTGGGACCAGACTTAATCTGTGAGAGAGCTCTGATGTTTAGGAGGACAGGGGGGAATTGTTTGTGCCAGAGGCTAATTTTGTATTGGTGGGGAGAAAAGAGCTGGAAAAATGAGTATTTTTTTTTTATCACATACCTAACCAGAGGCCAGCTACTCCACACAGGTAACCCCAGGGCACAGCAGAGAAAGGGTACCAGTACTCCACTTTTGTAAAATACAGTATGATTGGGGTGACAGAGATGAAGATGAAATTGAAGAAGCCCAGTGTAGACACAAAATGAGCTGCTTCCCCGAAGTTTGCACTTCCAAGGAACATTTTGAACAAAACCTGCAAAGGAGAGGAGAGAGGAGGGGTTTAGAAGTCATGACAGTCATGGGAGCAAAGTTCTCCTGCACAAATTCATCACCAACGTGAGCAAACTCTGAAGCTGGGAAACAAAATCTGATCCCACTACAACAAACTCCAAAATTTACACCCACTTCACCCTCCTCAAGCCGAAAATAAACACAGCCACGCTCAGCCCAACCTCTTTCTGAGACATGACTCTGCCTTTTCCATCCCTCACCTTCCAGAGCAACCACTGCTTCCAGGCATTCTCAAGTGTACTGAGCTCACACCAGGGCTCCAAGCCCAGCAGGAGCACAGCATGTGCAGTGCAGGCCTGGGGTGAGCCCTGCATTCCCACCCGGGGAAAGCAGCACATCCCACATCCAGGCTCTCCATTCTGCACCTGCAAAGTCCCTTTGAAACAGTGTTTTTAAACGGCATTGGCATGATTAAAAAATGATCTGAAACTCCTTATAGCGTAGCAATGAAGATTTCATTAAAGACTCATAAAGCAAAGCCACCCCGAATATTTGGCAGGTGACAACTAATTACCCTCACAGTGGATTTCCTGACGTGGTGACATCACCTGGTCACAACATGAATGATGCAGGAAATAAAACATTTACTTTACAGCCACTCTCCTTGTACTTGTGCATATTTAACAGCTGATAATAGTGAATATAAGAACCCAAACAAACAGTCGTGACCTACCTTATACAAGGCAGATGTGGAGGCTGATCCCACAGCATATGCCACCCCAATGATTGAATCTCCCTGGAAACCATCTGCATATGCCATCATCACAATTCCTGTGATTGCCATGATTGCTGCAACTATCTGCACAGACAAAGCAAAGCAGTGTAAAGCTCAGAGCTACTTCAGCCCATGGAAAGAGATCCTCACTGCATGGGGTTCTCATGAGTGTCACTGGCTACTTTCTCTGACTTGGAGCATTCTTGTTTTCCCTTAAATGGGAAAAATTATGGGAGAAATGTAAAGCATAATGAAAGTGTGTGCACTGGTAGTGGTATGGATCTATAGCATTGCAAATTCTGCTGGGACCTACTGACAGGACCTGCACCATTACCTGTTTTATCAGCTAAACATTCCCTTTGGAGAGATGGCTCCAAGATCAAGAAATTCTAGGACATTGTGTTCCATTATGCAACAAGAGAAGTATTTAGCAACACCCCAAACTTGACTCAAAATACAAACATCAGATGGCCAAACGTTCTGGACATTAGTCCAGGGGAATGACTCCTGTCTTGTGGAATGCCAGAGTACCACTGGGAGCTTTTCCAGGCTGTTCTGGCCAGCTTTCTTGGACAGACACGACCTAGTTTCTCCATGAAGCCTTTACCTTTGTGCTTAGGTTTCTGGCCTCATTTGGAAATCTCAGACAGGGCATCTAAGAAGCTTCAGAGAAAAAGAACAGGAATAATTACCTACACCACATCTGAAACCCTGGGTCCTGACTCCAAGGACCTTAAGAAAGTGATAGCGAGCCCAACATGTTTTATTCTTTGGAAAACTCCCCCTCTCCACCTAATTGCCCTCAGCATGTAAATAAGGAGTGGGAATTTCAAACACAATGAAGACCCAACTTCCGTGGAGTGCAGAGGAAAAGGTGTTTCCTGAGCCAGTGTATAATTCCTGAATCAACACCAAAGGGAGATGGGCACTTGCTTCTTGGAAAACATCACTGAACTCCATTTAAGAAATATTTAGTCCTAGACAAATCTGAGCTTCACATGCTTCAGCCCACAGACTTTAAAGGCATCTTGATCCAATCATGTGCCCTTTTGCAGAGAAGCCTGACTTTCAGAGCTCACAGTTTGACCAAGAGTCCCAGAAAACCCATTGATACTCCTACCAAGCACTTGTGAGCCAGACTGAGGCAGTGAACACAAAAATCCCACAAAAGTGAGCCAGACTGAGGCAGTGAACACAAAAATCCCACAAAACAATTTCAGCAGAGCCAGTCAGTCCCATGATTCAAGGGACACACAGGACAGGGACAAACACCTGACCCAGGTAAAAGTGTCCATACATGGGGAGACAATGGGAAACTCCCAGAGTAGAGACTACAGGTAGAAATGTTAGGGCTCCTAAATCTCATAGGTACCCAGGCCAACATCTTCACAGAGGAACTCATCTCCTGGTTGCAGCTTTAATTACTTCCCTCTCACCATTATCCCTGTTTTACCAGTACCTGAGGCACACAGGTACCCCCCTGGCATTGCAGTGGCTGTGCCAAAGGCAGTCAAAAATCACACTGCATGTCTGTGTTCCACCTTACTTCCATTTAAAACATCCAAGCTCCAAGATACAGGTCCACAAAGCTGCCACCTAAGCCTGAAGATATCACTGATACCTCCAAATTCACCATGAAATGGCACCTGAAACCCAAGTCCCCCAGCTTAATGATGTGGGCTGGAGTCACTTGTGTAATCACAGTCTCTCAGTGGTTTGATGAGATCTGAAAGGGCTTTAGCAAGAAGGGACCAAGACAGCTTCCCTCCTCTCCTTCCCAGGATAACACATCCCAGCAGTCAGGCCATCCTGGGAGACTCCTCAGAAGTCCCAGCTTTGAAGCAATGCTGAATTACACCGAGGACCCCTCAGACATCCATGGCCTCTCCTCTCAGTTTCCAGAAGCCCCCCTTTCCCTGCTCCACTGCCTGGCTGGGTTCATCACAGGCTGCACTAAACACCTTGCCTTGCACATAATTCAGATGCAGCATTTCAGCTGTCAGCTGGAATATTTCAGCCGGAATGTTTCGTGCAGTGTGTCTCACAGTGCAAACCAGAAGAGTCCAGTGCAGTTCACCCCTCCTTCCAAGGGAAAGGATCAAGATCTAATTCTTAGAACACTCATCTCTCAGTTCTTTCCTTCTATTAGTGAAAATGAGTAGATCCACCATCTCCAACAGCAGATTCTTCCTATTGGGAAAAAACTCCTTCCCAGTCTGACTACACCAAATTTAGAGAGCCAGTTTCCTAATTTAATCAAATATTTAGAAAGCCAAGAATGCTTTTTTCCCATTTATTTTTTCCTGAAACAACTAAAATGATGGACACATATGGGGTAAAACCACGAGGCATCCAATAAGTAAGACCTGACACTGAAAACAGCAAGAACAATGTTTAAGTTCCATGTTCAGAGCTCCTCCTGCACTTCACCCACCACAGCATCAGCAGAGCTGACCTCTGCCTGGCAACCCTCAGGTGTTTCCTTCCCTGTGACCTTGCTGCTGCTTGTCAATGTGGAGCAGCACAGGATATGCTCTCAGGTTTCTAAAGCAAAGATGGTTGTTGCAGCTGCCAGCTCATTAAACAGGGCTTTTAATTAATGGAGGAGTGTAGTAACTTGCTTTTGAAGCCTCCTAGGTACAGAATGAAATTAGCTTCCCTCTTTTTTTCCTGGGAGAGAGCAAGGCCAACCAACATTTTACTCAGAAACACTTTTTTTTCCCCCGTGTAGAGCACAGCAGAAAACGAGGTGTACTTAAGAATCACAGAATCACAGAATGGTTTGGGTTGGAAGGGACCTTAAAAATCACCTAGTTCCAATTCCCCTGCCACAGGCAGGGACACCTCCCACTAGACCAGGTTCCTCCAAGCCCCATCCAATCTGACCTTAAACACCTTCAGGGACATGGAAGAAACCTGCCCCCAGGGTAAAGTCAATATTTTCAAGGGAGAAAAATGTCCCCAAATCTCTCTGTACCTACCTAATAAACACTGATTACACTTCACAGATGAAACCCAACCAAGGGTTCAAACATGCAAACACATGAGCATATGACTAAATCTAAGCAACACAGGCCAAGAACTACTCAAATATGCAAAGTCTTTAAAATATTTGTGCTTGTTCTGAGCCAAAGCTTAACACTTAGCCTGACATGGTCCACCACTAAACCATGTCCCTAAGCACCACTCTACATGTTTTTTGAACACTTCCATGGATGGTGACTCCATCACTTCCCTGGGCAGCCTGTTAAATGCCTGAACATCCTTTCTGTGAAGAAATTATTCCTAATATGCATTCTCAACCTTCCCTGGCACAACTTGAGGCCATTAGCTATATAGTCATGGCTGTATCTGTCCTTCCCAGCTGAATACTCTTTCTCCAGCTGGTGTTTCTCTCTCGTGGTTTGAGTGCTACAACTTCTCCACTGAGGGCACAAGGCTCTAATTGCAGAACACACACTCCAGGTAACTCAAACACAGCCAGAGCAGCCTTTCTGCAGCTATTAAATGCTTCCATGGGTGGGATTAAGCCATACCATAAGGTGGCCATCAAGACAGGTTTGTCTTTAGACAGCATATCTAAAAATCCAGCCCCGCAGCCTGGCCAGGGGCTGCTTTCCAGCCGTGCAGGAGCGCTGTGCCACAGGGATAGGAGAGATCCAAATGCCCGTGGGCATCCATGGGCAGTCTGGACACTGCCTGCAGCCACACCAGCTGGGCAGGGAGCTGGGAATCTGCTGCAGAGCCACTGAGGCTGCTGGTTCTCTTTCAGGCAGATGAAAGTGGTCTCAGGTGAGACGCAGATGTGCCTGATGGCTCCGAAGCTCTGGGAGAGTTGGTAGGAGCTGAGTTCCTTTGAGAAGCTGGCTGAGCTCCCGGGTGCTGAGTGCTTCTACAAAAAATGGCTCAGAGTATATGATTAAGCCCTTATTTCTTTCTGTCTCCTTATTGTCCAAATAACTCAATTACCCTTGCTCTGAGAGGCTGTGGTGAGAGCAGAAGAGGCATTCAAAGCACAAAAGGCTGGGGCTGTGCTGCTTTGTTGTATTTTAGCTCTCAAACAGTCTCCTGTGTGGTTATTAACATCATTAAGTGTTACTCTGGCTGCTGGAAAAATGCTGTAATTTACCTTTGCAGCAATGGGTATCCAGAATCTGCCTCTTAGCAGCAAAACTCAGTTTCTTTTATGTGCAGAATTTGCTGCTCACTTTTCCTGCTGGGTTTTTCCTGTGTGAACCCCACGGTGTTTTACAGCATTAATACTAATGCATAATTGTAGCAACCTTTTCTTAGGCAGTGAAAAACAAGTAATAACTGAAAATAGCTTTTATTTCTAGGTTTCTTTAAGAGGGCAGGCTAAGAAAACACAAGAGCTACGCTTGCTCTTCTAGGAAGATCTTCCTTTGAGACAAAAATTACCTCAAAGGGTACAAAATTTCCTATTTTTTCAGCTGAGACCTGAGATGACTGAGGGGCAGAGGAGGGAATTACTGTTCCTGTTATTTCTGTAGAGAAGAACTGAGGATTTTAAACCTTGCTTATTCTTTGAATTAGTCATCAGTAGTCTGAGGGAAGGTTACATTCATCTTATGCTTCTATATGTTAAGTTTTATATGAAACAGGTATCTGGCTTTAGCACTGCAAGGTGGAATGTCCATGTCCTTACCTTCAAGGGCACCGTGGTTGAGGGTGAAACACGGGTTCACCTCCTCAACTCGGCAAGCACAGTGCTCTGCTCAGTGTGCTGGTGGCTGCTCCAAGAGCCAGATGAGATGCCTGTACACCAGAATGCCTTTTCCTTTCATTTCTGAACCCTTCTATCAGACTATTCATTAAAAAAAAAAAAGCTGCTGTGCTCATTTAAAAAAAAAAAAAAATTTACTTAGACGAGGTCCTGATTCATCACACTTTCCATGGAACTTAAATCCAACAGCTGGTGGCATTTTCTGATCACAGGCATCACACCTGGCCACAAACAATCCCTAAGGAATTTCAAGGCTCCTGATAGTTCACTCAGAATCATCAGGCCTTGAGCCATTTCAGAGGAGGAATCTATATCAGCAGAACTGTTGGAAATCCTCATTACTCCTTATCCAATGTTTAACCCAGCTGTATGTCAGGAGTTCTGTGTGTGCAAAATTACACAGAACACGCTGCTTTCCCCAGATCCAGGCACACAGCATTTTGTTTGAGTTCTTTTTTTCCCAGTTTTTGCAGGGTCCATATTACTGCCAGTGAGTCCAGTAACACTTTAGTGCAAAATACAACTTCACACAAAACAGTTGTGCTCCTTTTAAACCAATTTTGGCACATGCACGTGGATATGATTGTGTAAAAAGTACTAGGGTAGCATAAGAAAAATAGGTAAGACAGTGAAAACAGCTGCCTAGCCAAACAAGGAATAAAACTGCTTTGGTCAGAGCCTAAGCATTCATCACTAAGTTTAAAATAAAACTAACTAAACTTCAGCATTGTAAGCCAAGACAGAATGGGTTTATATGAAGCTGGAAGTCCTTCTATTTTAATGTATTGCATTATGCAATTGCTTTAGCTGTAATAGCTTCTTGAAATTTCCCACCTCTGGAGTCTGAGATCTCAAACACATCTTGAGGCTTAGATCTCCATAATAAAAATAAAATGAGAAAGGCTTTAATGGCATGTCTATACCATGATGCAGCAGTGCTATGGCAGCACAATGGCTTATGGATTTAAGTGCAATTTTATGAAAACAAGAGAGAGTGGAAAACGAGGCACATCATTACCCTTGCTCCCATGAACCTGTCTTTCAGCACAATCCAAGAAAGCAAGAAGACAAAAGCTTTGTTACAACAGAAGAGGGCAGAGACGTCTGTGGCTGTCAGCTTCTTTAAAGCCAGTAAATACAGGTAGTTAGTCAAAGTCCACAGAATAGAAAAGGGAGCAGTCCTTTTAAGAAAGAGTTTCAGCGTCAGACCATCTTCACCAAAAATCCGACTGCATTCCCTACGAAAAGAAAAGAGTTTCAGTCTCAGCCAGGATTTTCCTGAGCGTTCACTCCAGCACAAAAAACACTCATTAAAGACTTTTATCGCATTCAATTAAATGCTTTTCCTACCAACTCCTTTGCACACATGAGAATCCATTATTTAATTCACATAGAGAAAATAACCCACAATCTTCTTAAAACAGCAATTTCGCAAATAGTAAAGGAGTAACTTACCTGGAATAATCACACTCTGAGCAACAATAATCCCAGGGACTCACACACAGAAATGAAGGTTATCTATAATGCTCTGACAGTTCCCAGACTCTGCCTTCCAGGCCATGAGCACAGGGATTATAATCACCATTTTTTTTACTCTGTAGCTTGCCAGTTTTTTCTTGCATTGCTCCAAACCCTGCTTTTATTCTTATTGAAATATATTCTCACCTATAGCCAAGGAAGCTTTAAGAATTGCCTAAAGATACTCAAAAATACTGCCAGACACATCACCATGGTGGAGAAGTGAGACACCAGGCAGTGGGACTGAGCCAGGCAAACAGCAGTGTGAGAGATGGAAGGAAAAGGGAGGGAAGAAAATTTAATACCTTTATTTTAATATACAGTGAAAAGTTTTGCTTGCTAAGAGACAGTTCCTTGTGGATCAAATTGCAAACAAAATCTCTTAGTTTCCCAGGCACTGTCTCACACACAGCTCCAGTGAACTGTTTGCTTCTTAGGATTTCAAGAAAGAGAAGGGTCAGCTTAGCAGACACTGCTTTTGGGGACAGCTGTCCTGTGCAAAGTGGTACCTCATGGGCTGAGAAGAGACTGAGGACTCCAGCATGCAGGTAGACTAAAGGCACATGGAATCCTGGAATGGTTTGGGTTGGAAGGGACCTTAAAGACCATTAAGGTCCAATCCCACTGCTGTGGGCAGAGGCACCTTCCACTAGACCAGGTTGCTCCAAGCCCCCATGTTGGACACAACCTGGCCTTGAACACTGCCCCCCTCCTGAAACATCTCTACCTTTCCTAAATTGGGAAGGACTTTTTTAACAGCTCCATTGTCTGCATTCTTGGTTAAAGGCATTCCTGAAGATATTCCCGGTATGCTTCCCTTTCTTGACACAAGAGACTCTCTGACACATTTGTTTAAAACATGAGAGGTCCCACAAGGGAACACTTCATACAACCCAAACACCAAGGGACTGAGGGAAGGCACCACCAAACTGCAGCGTGTGAAGGGACTGATCTAAATGCCAAGAGGCCTCGGGGCTCCAAAGTGTTCACAGCCAGACACGGCTGTGTTTGGAAGATTGCTAAAACACTCATTACACAGAACTAATCAGTAAATTCAAAGATTGCACTACAACGTGAAGTCAAAACCACTTGTTATTTGGGGGGGAAGTGGTGTGATAATTATCCTGATCTGGAAGACAAAACAGTTTTCAGGATGCATTAACCATTTTTAGTAATTCTTGGGAATTCTGCTGTTAAAAACATTACTTTTTTTACTATTAACAGTGGAAATCATCACTTGTTTTGAGGGAAGCAGAATAATAACATCTATGTAAAAAAAGAGATCAGCTACATCCTAACCTAAATGATTCTATGAATCTACTTAATAACCACTCGTTCTCTGCTGCTACTAAGACAACCTGGGGTACAAAGCAGCCATTTCTGGTAATAATAAATTACATTCTCAAAGTCTATGACAGGGTGTCCAACAAGTTAACACTCAGGCAGGCAGATCTGCTAATTATCTCCTTCACTCTAGTTGACCTGGATGCTCTCAGAAGTTAATCTGTTCCCCAAAGATCAGGAGAAAATCGTTTCAAATAGAAAAAAGAAAACAAACAAACAAACCGACCAGTGGTGCGTATCATTTATCTGAGATGCAAAGCAAATACTCAGTGAAGCAAATAAATTAATGCTTAATTTGACTGCAGGCTTTTGTATCACTGATTTCAACAGAAGTTAAAGGTGATGAGTTCCCCTGTGTGAGAAATGGACTCAGTGGGAGCACTTCAGTTGTTCCTTGACATGCAGATATTAGCAGTTTATGTTTAAAAGATGCTTCCCTTTGAGACTTGGGTGGTTGCAGAGGGTGATTTTGGGCTCAAACTACATCTCACCTCAATACAGGTGGATGCACCATGGCTGTGTCACCACCACTACATGACACCAGAGCCAGGATGGTCCATCTACTGGCAAGAAGAGCTCTGTGTTGTGAACTACAGACCAGTGTGGAACCTACTCTCTCCAGCCCAGTGGGAATTCTGGTGCACAACTGGATCATTACACGGTTGTAAATCCAACCTGCCTCCGAATCTGCCAGGATCTTGGAGGAAACAAGCTTGTGCTGTGCTAAAACAAGAGAGGAAAGGTGCCTGGGCTGCCCACAGTGATGCAGGGCACTGTCAGGTACCCAGGTGCCAGAATGGGTGAGGTCTTGTTGTCCTGCACACAGACAAACCCAGGGCAGAGTCATGAGGATGGAGTACAAAATGCCCCAACAGTGTGAATCCTCGAAGGAGGAAGGTTCAGTGATTATTATTCTGTGTTGGACTCGGGGCTGGTCAAAGATTTGGGAGAGGCAGTTGTGTCAGCCTTGACAATGTCGCTGTGAATTCCCAGGAGCAGTGGGAGGGACGAGCAGAGATTCTCAGCTAGGAAAAGAAATCTGGAAATGTTTCACAGGCCCCAGGCTGTTTAAGCAGATGGAAGAGCCTCCATCACACACAGCAGTGTACAGTGACCAGACAAAACAGGGGCCCGTGGCTCCTCAGCTCTCAATTAAGAAAATACAGCAAAGACTGTGACAGGGTCCTGCCAAACAAGACAGAGACTTGATGAATTCACCTCTGTGCCTAGGAGAGCTCCATGAATAATGCTCAGACAATGAGGAAATAGGGCGAATGCTTTATTTTCCTAGTCATGGCTACAGCAGATTGCCTGGGGCTGTGTGAGGGCTGGGTGCTCAGTGGTTAGCTCAGCCTCTTTGACATGCAACTAAAATTAAACTTGCAGGAATCATCAGACATGACAGTGATTGAAACGCCGGGCTAAGGAGAGAGGGATCCCAGGACCCCCCCCACACACACTGGTAGTATCTGCAGGCTGTTGACTTAAAGGCACAGACCTGTCTAAGGACAGCTGACCCTGAAACTATGACACAAACTATTTCCAAATGCACAAGGAGTCTATTTAAAACCTGCCCTCTCACATAAATAGTTCTTTTTATTTGCAGGTAGCCCTGAGCCATCAGCTCTGGGCAGCGTGCCATGCTCTCAGGAATTACAGCCCCTCAGGCAGTCGTGTAGCTTTGCCTCTGGCACCCCCTAAACAGCTTGTGGGGCCTCTTAGTCATTCTGATGCCAACCCCTGCACAAGAATGGTTTTGTTCACCCCTGCCACACAGCAGCCTTTGGAGTGAAATCCAGCAGCTGGTTTCAGACAGCTCACAGGAAAACCAGAGCAAACAGGCTGGAGTGATGGGAATACCGTGAGTGGAATTACATCACCCGGGCTAGAACTTGGCAAGGCCTCCAGTGACAGTAGGGCAGCACTACAGCACCTTCTGTGAGCACAAGTCATTTGGTCCTTCTATCTAAATGATGGCATCTGCAGCAATAAAATACCTCCCAGCTCCATTGCAGGAGACAGGCCCCAGGCAGAGTGTGGTTAAGCACACTGGTCAATTGTTTTCCAGGACTGGCAGAATATGAACATTAGGAAAGAGCATGACCAGCTGTACTGGTCTGGTCAAGAGCTGGAGCAAAAGGAAAGGGAGTTCTGCGTGAAACCCTCACATCAGCAGTGCCTGGCTCAGGGGGCAGCACCACAGGAATGCTGTCTCCCACAGGAATGGTCCATGGGTAGCCTAGTTTTGTGCTGAAGGTCTTCCTCCCTACTGCTGAGACATTCCGGGTTGGAGCAGCTTCAGGCATCGGACATCCACATCTCTCCTCTGAAAAGCCTTTGCAGTGAAGACCTGGATTTGCAGTGTTATTCCATAAGTGGCTGAGGAAGTTGGCCTGAGCTACTGCTGCAACACAGAGGGAGAGACTTGCGGGTGATGACTGCAAATACCAGCTACTGAAGGCTCAGTTTTTACTTCAGGTGATGCTAACTTCCTGTTATCCTGCCTGCTCTTCCCAATGTTTTTGTGTTCATTAAACATTACACCTACCAACACTCTCCCCAGTCAGTGTCTCAAGGCTGTGGAGTTCCTGTAGCACTGACCTCAGCTGTTACACCATGGATAGATCCTGGCAGGAAGCTGCTGAATATCAGTGTTTGTCCTTGAGAAGACAAGACAGCGGGTGGGGAGGCAGAATTTATTGACATGGAAAATGTCACCCACCTTTTGTTAAAATCACAACTCTAATAGGATCCTAAGTCAAGTCTGAGCAGTGATTTCTGCTGTGGCAAATCGTGGCAGGATTAAGCTTCCTATTGCTGTGCTGCCTGAGCTTCAGACCATTTTATCCACCAGGAATGGAAGTTTCAAGCTCTTTATGTGGGACATGCCTTTTATTTACAATACTGAGGGAATACCAAGAGCTGTGTCTTCTGCCTCAAGACAACCAAGATAATTCAATGAGATGCAGCAGGGAGTTCATAACTCTGAGTTACTTTCTAAGACCACAGTATTGAACTTCTAAGGTAAAGTGTGAAAGGTAAGGAACACAAAAGTTATATCTCAAATATTACAATAATAGAATCCCACAATGATTTTGGTTGAAAGGGACCTTTAAGGCCATCTCATTCTAACTCCCTGCCATGGGCAGGGATACCTTCCACAATCCCAGGTTGCTCCAAGCCCCATCCAACTCGGTCTTGAACTCCTCCAGGGATGGGGCAGCCCCAGCTTCTCTGGGCAACCTGTGCCAGGGTCTCACCACCCTCACAGGGAAAAATTTCTTTTCAATATCCAATCTAAGCCTGCCCTCTGTCAGTCTGAAGCCATTCCCCCTCCACTCCCTTGTCAAAAGTCCATCTCTCTTGTAGCTCCTTTAGGCACTGAGTGGCCTAAACTTTTCAGGAAGCCAATCTAAAGTTGGAGACTGGGACTCCTGTCCTTCCAAGTGGGATTTATGAAAAGAACAGTGGCTCTTTACAGCTTTGCTGGCCTGGGGCAGTGCTCTGCAAGTCACTCACATGATCGCTGATGTCTGCCAAGATATCACAGACACTGTTTGCTCAGATCCACTGGGAATATCTGCTGGACAAGATGTCATGTCTTTAAAGCTACTAGAGAGTAACTACAACCTCCAGGAACACAATGATAAATCACCTCTGGACCCTGAGGCAAGCCTGGAATTGCTACAGGAGGGGTTTATTGACAGGAATTAGCTACTCCACAGGAATAAAACAAGCAAATGAAGCAACAAGAAATCTTAAAAGCCTTGTAACAGGAACAATACCAAGACTGCAAACCAAGCAAATATAAAACAAATTATGTACCTTTGAAAGTACCCCTGCTCTGGGCAGGAGGCTGGGTTAAATGACCTCCAAAAATTCTTTCCAAATTAAATCTGCCTATAAGTCTCTGAATTTAAAAACTACAAATGATGCTTTTTAATCATTTAAGTCATCAAAATATCAAGAGTTCATCCTGAAGAGATTCTATCCCATATCCAAACTAAAAGAACTTTGGGTAGTCAAGTTGTAACATGGTACAGACCAAATTATTGGTCCCCATGATAAAATCATTATTTGCCAGCAGTCAATTCCTCCCTGGGATATGATTTCCTGATATATCTGGAATAAGAAATACCCTGGGAAGATGCCCATCATCTCTAACACTGGTCTCCTGATTTCCACACATTCACAGACCTCCATGTGTGCAGAAATTCCTCTGGGCATATAAGTATTCCAGATTTAAAAGCTGAATTCCTAACAGCTGGGGAAATGTATCAATTATTTAAGCACAGTCTTTTTATGCATTGCCCCAAATATGATGCTCAAAATTTTGCTCTGATGGAGATGTAATCCACCAACTAACTGCAGAGGATCTATCTGCAGGGATGTTTATTCACACCTTCTTCCTTATCTGCTGTGCAATTGTTATTACTTTACCCCATACCCAGAAGCCAAGCTGACACTGTTAATGTTCTCACAAACACTCCAGCAAAGATCTGAATGAAGGCATCATTAATGTACAAAGCGCTGGGGTTTGCAGGGAAGCACTTAATTAAGTGCAACTGCACAATTTCAGTCACGCTGATTTGACAGAAATGATAATTCAGGGCCAAATTACATCCCAGATCCTGGCCAAAGCAGCTGAGGGAAGAATTTGGCCCTGCCACACTCCAGCCTGACAGTCACAAATTGAATTCCCTCTGTGCCCAGTGACAGCTGTGCTGAACCCTCTGTCAGCAGGAGCCAGGGACAAGCCACACTCTGGTTAATACCTGGTGGGACAGACAATTCTGCTCAAGTCACTGACATCGTTTTCAAAGCAAGTCTGCACTGGAATAACAGTCTGGTCATAACAGAATCGGGTCCCAGCTTGCAATTACCCTGTGGGTTTCTTCCCTTCGTGGGCAAGGTGTGTTATCTCTTGGCAAGCTGAGTTTTGTTCCGTTCTTTAAAGCAGCTCCTGCATCACTGTCAGATCAGTAGAACAATGGAAGTGGGGGAGGAAGTGTGAAATTAATTGTCCCAGAATGTGATGGTGCTTCCAAGCCCCGAAGACAGATTAGATGTGGTTTTCTTAAGAACTGGTGAAGCTCAGCCAGCTCTGTCCTGCTGCAGTGCTGGTGGTTGGACTGGATGATTTCTTTGGGTTCCCCCCAACCTTGTATTTCTGTGATTTCCCAGGAGCTACTGAAGAGGGATTTATAAATTTCCACCCCTGCAGCCTAATGTTGGGAGTTAGTGCTATTGACTCCTTGGCACTCAAGGTTCAGAGTTCAACAGCATGCATCCCTGTGGCATAAGGAAAGGCTGGAGTCAGAGGGATGTCTTCCCCTGACTCACAACACAGAGGAAGAGGTATTTTCATGTGGAGCCTGACAGAAGACGGAATAAAATCTCCACATCATTTCCTCAGGGTGACAGGCACTCAGCTATGCCAGCTTATCCCTCAGAGCTACAGGGGGAGGAAACCAAGAGTCTGCAACCTGCTTTACCTCTTACCCCACACAAAAGAGAGCAGAGCAGGCTACCTGGATGCTCTTCCTCCATATTGTGATCCAACAGGAGGAAAGGCCAGCTTTTTTTCCTGCTATACTTGCTGAGGATAGAGAGCAAGCCATGGTCTTCCTCATGGAAAACATCTCCTCAGCTCTGAGCATCTTTCTTCTCAACTACGAGTTGCACTTAACACTATTGTTCTACCACAAATGGGCCAGAAAAGATTAATGAATGGTCTGATCCGGACAAGAACACAAAATATAGAGACATTAGTTAATATAACAGCAGTATTATAAGCAAATTATTGACCTTTTCAACTCATTAAAAAAAACCCTTTGGCAATCAAGTATCCATTTATTCAGCATATATCACTCATCTGTCAGCCTTCTGAGCTGTTAATGAATGAGGCTTTCTGCAGCATGACCTTTATTCTGCCTTCTGACACCAGGGGTCGAACTGAGCAGAGCAGTGATCTCAGTCCTCAGGAATCGGGTTGTTTTAAAGGGGTATTGCCACGACAGAGCCTACCTGAATTTTTTGATTGGAGACTGCTTTTCCTGCGCAGTTGCAAGGTGCCCAGAGTAATAAATGGGAAAAATCATAATGTTCCAGTTTGTTGAGAACCAAGTCATGAAAAAAGGACAGTCAAAGGTCTCAAAAGTGATTTTGACAAACTGCGTGGTCCCGACCCAGGAGGAGGAGACGGACAAAATGATCAGGAACCTCCAGATAAGCTTGAGAAATGTGGATGTGCAAGACTGGCATCGTGTCTGTCCTTCAGCTTCTTGGCTGCTGCTCTCTGTGTGCGTTTGTGTTCCTTCTTCTCCTGAAAAAAAGAAAAAAAAAAAAGAATAGGAAAAGAGTTGCACGTATAATGAATGCATTCAAAACACTTCTTGGCAAAATCTCCCCTTCTAATCCAGTCACAAATCATCCCTTGCCTTCTCCCTGTAATTCCTCTATGTCCCATAAGTACTGAAATCCTGCACCAAAATACTTTAATGATACCACCTCTGTCACTTCAAGGAGGCAGGAACAAAACACGAACACAACACCGAGGCCTGAGGTAACAGTGTCACAGTTAAGCTGTTGTCACTATTTGCTTTATCAGCCCTTCTTTCCCTCTGTCAGCAAAGCTCCAAAACAAAAACACATCTCTTGGAACCAACAACATTATGAAGACAATTGCTGTGCATGTGTGCAACAGAAAAGCTCTTCTGAGCCTGCACTTCTAGAGCCAGGAACAAATTCTTATTATTCAGGATTTTAACTCCAGAATCACTTTTTTATTTGCAAGCAGGGAGGGGAAAAAAGGAAACAATTTGCTGGTTTTATATATCCAGGTGGAGAAAGGCTTTTTGCAATCAGTTAGTGTACTTAAATTCTTGAAGTTGAAAAAGGAAACTGGACAAAAGTGAAGCTTGGCACATGCCTAGAAATAAACCTCTACACACAAACAAGAAGGAATCAGAAGTCATTTCCCATTTAATGTAGTGCTTTTCAGACTTAACCTGCAGACCTGTGTAGAGTTCCCAACAGAAGTGGAGAGAATTGAATCTCACTGCCTGGTGACTTGTTCTCCAGACACAACTCCCAGAGAGGCAGCCCAGGAACCCTACTTTGATTTCACAGACCCCATCTGGAAAAAACAAGGAGCACTAACACTGTTGCCTCATGAGCTCATGGGGCACCACTGAGCTCCAACTATTTACCCCAAATCACATAAGACTGATAGAAGAAACAGGAAAAAAATCTTCTAAAATCCATGACCCGAAGCTATTCTTAACTGTTCCTATCAATTATCACTCACATCAACACCTGATGTGATTTATGTAGGAAATAATGTGATTTTAAAAGGAGCTATAGATCCACTACAGTGGGGGCATCCACTGTCCTGTATTCAACTTATACGTGACAGAGGTATCCTTTCAGACTCTGGTTTACTTTCCTTTTATATCAATGTTTCTACTACAGCCACAGAGAAATGTCAAACTGAGGTTCCAAGTTATTACTTTAGACCAACATTACACCTAAAAAAAGATTCATCATAGCAGGGAATGCATTTGTAATCAAGAATTCTCCTAAGCAGGACATGGATCTTTTTGTAGTTGTAATTGTGTGATGTGTTTTTTTCCTAAAAATAATCTGTATTTGATGGCTCCATTGTTTAGTGGTGAATCAAGAATTTAAATAAAATTACAGGTTTATTAAAAACATGCAGAGGATAACCAGGCACTGGTCTGAAAAGGCTAACATCCTTTTAGCATTCTTTTTGGCTGCTGAGAGAAAATAGATATTTGTATGGTACTAATAATGAGTGACATGTTCCATTAAAAGGTAAATTACAGTTTATTTGCAAGTTAGAATGGCTTTGAAAGAATATATTATGTAACATCCACTTGCAGGATTTCCTACTAAGCAAAACTACCCTGCAATTAGTCCTTCTTCAGCTAACAGTTCAAATAATCACATAATGATACAAAAATAAAGCACTTTTATCTGTGCTTTCTATTTTTCAATTACCAAATAACGATGTAATTGCTGTTCCTACACATGACACCACCATTAGCATTTGACTTGGATTTCCCAGTCCCAGGTCTGAATGACAGGGAAAGGCACAGAAATGCACACTTGTTGCAGGACCTGCCTTGGATTTAAAGACCTGTGTAAATTCTGGGCTGATTAAATGTGCAGTGGGGAGTTTCTGTAAGTGTTTAAGGAGTGGGATTCATCGCATGTGATGGAGTTGGCAAATATTTGTGTACTCAGGCTAAACATATTGTCTAGAAGCCCTTTATATTTAATGACAGTGGAAAGGCATGGTGAGAGGGTAGCTGATTCCATCCTCACATATATATCCAAGGTCACTGAAGACACTTATCTCTCTCTAGACTGGATATTTACATTTAATTTACATAAAATTGAGATTGATCCCCGGCCAAAGTGCCATGGAAGCTCAACAGCTGCTTTCAAAATCCATGGGATGTGCACACCTAACCCTTGGCCAAAGAATCCAAAGGAAAAGATAAGAAGTATCTTTAAAAATAGTTACAGGGCTTGAACTCGAAGACACATGGTGAGGAAGCAGACAGTTCATACTACAGAGGTTTGAGGATTTCCAAGTCATGAAGCTGGGGCTGGAGCAAGCAAGGAATTAGCACTTGTGTTCAGACACCAAATGCTATGATAGTGAGGAGGAAACAAACTGATCAGCCCAAGTGGTTGGTAGACAGCATTTTACAATTAGCAAGGCAGCGGAAATCCTCGGTGTGTGCACTGAGATCAGAGCGAAGCAAATCAAGAGACTTACCCTGGCAAGAGCACAGAAACAAGCTGAGCATTCAGAAAGGATGAAATGGCAGATAAGAACACAGGTCACACTGCAGGGGACACGAGGAGGTGACACTGGCCAACAGCAAACTGTGTGAAAGGCAGGAAGCAGAAATACCCCTGCGTGGTCATCTGGTCCTTAGTATAACTCTTACTTGTGATGTCTCTGTGATAAGATGGCCAAAGAAAAGCCTTTTGCTTTCGTTTTTCAGAAGAGTGAGATGAAGAAAATCAAAACCTACAGCTTTTCATCTGAACTCTTTTGACTATTTGGCAACTACATCCTAAAAAACAATATTCTTTATATTTGTTTTGCTACCTGTCAGGTCAGTCCTACTTAGACTTCACTGACGAGGAAGGGAAGATCAAAATAAAAAGGGAAATTAATAAATGCAAAATAAATGTTTAGAAGAGTGTAATGTCAAGACCTAAACAAGTGGCCTAAAGTCCTTTCTCAGAGAAGATGGATTTTGATTCTGGATGTACCCCAGTGCCAGCAGGCATGGTTACTTCAGCCCGATGTCTGCAAAGATGAGATTGATTTTCTGGTCTCTTAGCTATGATCTTTACTGCAAGATGCTGCATCATCCACTCCATGCAGCAATAATCACCTCCAACACTTTTCTGAGACTTTCCATGAAGAGAGTACTCTTGGATCACGAGATCCCTCCGTTTCCCACACAAGAGGAAAAAGGCTGACTCTTGCTGCCATCGGCGGTGAAGGGACGAGAGGAAGGTTCATCTTCCCCAATTCCAGTGTGCAAGGGAGACCCAGCCTGTTCTTCCTCCCCCTTTTGCCCACATTATATACAGAGTATTCCAAAGAACTTGGACAATTAAACTACTCTTTCCAACACACTTGAACAGTCACATTATTTCACTCGTGTAACATCTCTCCTCCTCAACAGCAGCGGACTCAAAGGCCTGTGGCCCCGTATTATAACTGCTCCCATCCCATCCCTGTTGCTGATAGATGGATGGACACCATGGTGAAGAAGTCAGTGTTCACCATACCTACAGGTTCGTTTGAGCTAAACTTCTGCTGTAAAAGTGGGTGACACGTGCCCGATGGAAGCCCTGACATGCAGCTGATGGATGATCTGAACTGTGATGGTCTTCCCTAGATATCCTTCCACCTGTTGCTCCTCCTCTTCCTCTTCACCAGACCATCCACGGAATGAGCTGAGCTTGTCACTGTCTTTGAGAAGGAACAGGGCTGGCTCTTAAAAGTCCTGGTCTCTGGCCAGGCTGAAGCTGAGGAAACACAATCACTTCGTAAAAACTAACTGTGTGCTAATGTTAATCAGCTTCCAAGATCTTCTGTGCCTTAGGATGTCTCAGATACCTTACACATTACATGTACCTGCTGACTCCCAGGCCTTTTCCTCCCATCCATGCTTCCTTCCCTCCTAACCCCAGTTTGCACCCAGGCACGGGAAGGACTTGCACGTGGCTTTGCTGTTCTCAGCACCGTAAATCAACGTCAGCATGCTCGGGCTCTGCCCCATCCTTCAAAAGGCAGAAGAAAGAGGCCCCTCACAGGCATGCTGGGAATGTTCCTACCTGATCTGCTCTGCCTCTCGACTCTGCTGTGCCGACAGATTCCCGAGGGACTTCGATTCTGCAGCTCAAGAATGGGAGCAGCAGAATCTTCAGCAACAGATAGAGGGGAGAGCTGCCTAGTCATGCCTCTGTGTCTGCTGGGGCAGTTGCCTCCTGGCTTGCATTGGATGACAGATGATCGTGAGGCACCTGAGAAGAAAGAGTTTGCATCAGTTTGGCTGTAAAGTCCCTGGAGGAACGCGGGGCTGTCAGTGAAACGCACACAAACAGATCCGCGGGAGGAGGGAAGCACACGGCAAAAATCAAGGTTCCAGCTCTGCTCAGAATAAAGTAAATCAGTGAGTAAATAAATACTTAACTCTCTCCCCCCTTATGGATAAAAAGGTGCTGTATGAAAACCAGTCTTTCCCCTGAGGAAATGAGAGCCCCATGCTGCTGTACATTCTCAGCCCCACGGCTCCATCCGTGGGGGCTGCACAGTCAAAGGGATTTGTACTCACGTGGGCCCCTCTCCTGAGCACTGGCCCTGAATCAGGCCAAAGGAGAGGTCACCATTCCCCCTCAGGGTGGAAAGGAGGGCTCAGGAACTCAGCCTGCTGGGGTGCTGAGAGCCTCTCCAGAGGAGAGCTTCCTCTTTCCATCCTCCAGAACGATCCTTTGAGACTCTTGCACAGAACAAAGCCACAGTCACTGAACTTTTGGATGAAGAGTTCTGCTGCAGCATTGAAGACACCAATTTTAAGCCTTTACATGCATCAAATCAGAGTCTCCACATCTTCAGAGGAGTTGCTTTTTCTTCTTCTGCACCCCCAAGGTGCTGCATTGGGGGCTCTGTCGAGGCACGAGGCAGCAGAGAAGAGCCAGGTCCCAGAATCATCAACTGTACCAGATGAAAAAATTTTCCAGTGAGCAGGACACAACCTTTGAAGAGTAAGAACTTGAAGGACTGGGTTGAGAATCAGCAATCAACAGCAAGGAGTGCAGTGCTGGAATCCAGCAGTGTGCCTGGATATATCTTGGATGTATTCCCAAGTTTAGTGAAGGTGTCTCTGTAAGAGGTCAACACACGAGCGGCACAAGAGAGTCTTCTTCTCCAGCAGAAAGTCAAGATTATAAGCCATCTTGCTAAGTATAAATGTGTGTTCATGGCCAGGTGAGATCATCCACCGCTGGTTTTGAAGCTGCTACTCCAACTGGTGACCATCTTACCTAAACTTTTGAAATATGCACAAACCCGGGGCAGCCACTGACCTTGCTGTGACTTGGAAGGATTTAATATGATAATCCCAACTATTTCACGTTGAAAAGAATACAAAACCAGACACAAAACCCATGTGTAAGGTGCCACACATGCAACAAATACAGCAGAAATCTCAGAGGGAGAATTTCTTTGTTGCAACATGAGTCATTCCAGTACAATTTCCGAAAATAACTCCATGCCCAACAACATAGAAGTATATTCCAAAGCAAGGACTGTATTCAGGATTCAAGAGATTGCATGAATCTTGCCAGAGGAAGGTAGAGTTCAAATAACCTTTGATGGACTTAAAGCCATATTGGATTCACCAGGTCTAACTACAAATATTTCAAAAGAAGATTTAAGATTTACACATCTTTTCGAAGGAAGAGATGTATAAAATAGGGAACTACACAGAAAAAATTCCTCTCTCAGCTTATTTAGAGCCCCCAAGGTTAATTTTTACCCTCCAAGTAGACAAGTGACTGAACCAGCAGCTAACACCCTCCAGATGATCTTTCTCAAGATGCTCTTCCCCTTCTCCTCTGTCCAGTATGAGGTACCCCTGACATAAGAGGGATATCCAAGTTTAGGTTCCTTTCCACCTTCCCAAGTAGTCACACCTTGCCAGGAATTCCTGCAAATCCAATCAAGGCAGTAAACAACCCACATTCTGTGACAGCAGACCCACAAGTCGACCTTGAAATACTAAGACCTGTATGATGTCTAAGCTCTGTGTTGCCCCTTCTCATTTTTTGGTGAGCGTTACTTTCTACAGAGCTTTTTAGAGCCTGCTGGATGTTTTCAGACCTTTAAAAAGCCATTCACCCTCATATATTTACTTTTTAATGGAGAAAATCGTGCTCCAACAGCCACACAACTCCTCCTATGACTTGGTTCCAGTTTCAAACTCCAAGCGTTACTTCTCCGACTAATCAAACAAGGATAACATTATCTACTTCCTAGGGTTTAGTAAACATCTTGTTCAACTCTGAGGTTGAACAGTGTGTTAGAAATGGCAGTCCTTGGCCACTCACCTCACCAGAACACCTTAATTTGACAGCTGAAAGTCAGTTCCAGCCTCCACGAGGTTAAGCCAGTCAGTGCTTTTGGGGCTAAATATTCAAAAAGGCACTTAGGGTTTTTCAGGTCCCCAGCTTCAAGAAGTTTTGTTTTCAGGAAGTGTTTGCTGACTGCAGGTCCTCAGAGAAGCAGCCACTGAGGTGGCTGGACCCAAATCACTCCTCACTTGGATATTCAACATTTAAAGAGATTGCACGATGTTGAAAGACACATGCTATGTCTCAATTCAGGTTCAATTTAGAAGAAGATCAAGATTCACATTACACTCAGCAGAAGTCTAGCAGGTGATCTGCAACCAAAATTTGAAGGAAACCTATTCTTCCTCACGTTCTAAAAGAGCAGCGTGAATCTTCCCCTGTGCACTGAGAACCTCAGCAGTTGAGACCAAAACTATAATTCAAGACATTGCATTTAATGGAAAGTCACTGTTTGATTTACTGAAATCTTCTTCCCTCATACTTGAAGCAATCAGACAGCAGAGCCATTTATCAGTGTGTCATTGTTACAGCTAGAAAGCCTGGGACAATCTAATGCTGCTGAATCTGAACGTGTTTTAAGGATATTCTTTGACAGGGGAGGTGAAGAGATGTGTGCTGGGCTGACTTATCCAAACCTGGAATCAGCAGCAAGGGCAACAAACCACCAGTTGCACATTTGAGCAATGAAACCTCCCAGGTGGGCAATGTGACTCCACCTGCCTAGAGGAGGGGAACTCAGGTAATTCCAGTTCTCTGTCTCACACAGAACTATGAGCTGTCAAGCAGAGATCTGCTAAGACCCTCCAAATTCGGAGGGATCAAGAGCAGCAGTTTCCATTGAAGTTCCATATAACTACATAAATCCTATACATATGTGGGGACCTTGTGGTTTCAGGCAGTGAGACCACATCTTCCCCACAGAGGGAGAAAGCAGGGTGCTGCCATGACTTGCCACAAGCAAATGGAGAAGCAACTGTGTCCTAAAATGGTACCATAATACATCTCCTCCACAGCAAATGGGGTTGGATTCATTTGACTTATTTCAGATGTTAATCTTAGGATGAGAAAAGCATTGCCCTGGGACTACCTGCATCTCCCTGTGAATATACAGGGAAAAACAGAATTGTGGGATGGTTTGGGCTGGCAGGGACCTTAAAGCCCATCTAGTTCCAGCCCCCTTGCCATGGGCAGGGTCACCTTCCACTAGACCAGGTTGCTCCAAGCCCAGTCCAACCTGGCCTTGAACAACAATCCTGAGCAGAGATGTTAACACTGGGTGGGACTTTTTACCCAACTTGTGGCTTTAGCAGAGATGAGCCACAGGCTGAGAGTGAATCTACATTTTGAGCATCATTTGATATTTTAAGAGAACAACACTGGAAAAGATTAGGAAAAAAACAAATAGGAAAAACTTTGCCAGACTGTCAGATCTTGCTTCTGGAAGTGTTCATTGGGGGTTATAACTGAGTGTCAAAGCAACACTGTGCCAATGGGATTGACAAAAAACAAAAGGGAGAACTGGAAAGTACCACATTTGATTGTATCAAGCACATTTTTATGAGTCAACTCCACCTGGATTACTTTTTGTTATTGGATAACAACAAATCCCTGCTCTTTCCCATGGTTTTTTAATGATTACTTCTAGTTTATTAATCTGTTTCAGCAAATCTTTTTCCTTGCCATGCAAATGTGGATTCTTTTTAGCACAAGAAGCAAGTCCATTTTCTGCACATGGAGACCAGAGGGAAACCAGCAAGGGGAACCCGTGGCTTTCCTTACGCTTCTAACGAAGTCTGTCCTGTCTTGCATTAATTATTATATACATTCCCCAGTGTGCTTTGATTTAGCAAGGTAATTATGCTTGTGAGTAGCCTAAACCACATGATTAATATCACTGAAGTCCAGCCTTTTAATGTTCTTTAACACCATCCTCAGACGCAGCTGTGGGAGGAGGTGACCACCATGTGCTGCTGCCATCGTGCCCATTCAAGCCAGGAACCAGCAGCACATGCTACCATCCATAGGTAGCCCCTTACCCCTCTTAAAAGATGTGGTACTTGACTTGTGGATTCTTGTTCATACACGGATTTTCAGTAAGAAAATGCATCCTCACCCACCTTGACTAGAAAAATCCCTTTGCTGTTTTCCAGGGGGGCTTGGAGGGAAGGATTATGCTTTGAGGTTCAAAACCAGTTCTCTTCAAATCATCTTCATGTGTATGACAACTTTAGCATGTGACAGCAGTGCTTGGAATAAAAAAAAAAAAACAACCCACACCATTTCACTGGGACAATGTTTCTGGTCTCAAAGTTGCTACTAAAAATAGATCATAGAGTTGGAAGGGACCCACAATGAACATTGAGTCCAACTCCTGGCCTTGCACAGGAATCCCACTGTGTGCCTGAGAGCACTGTCCAAATGCTCCTTGAGCTCTGGCAGCCTCGGTGCTACGACCAGTTCCCAACCAGCCTCTGGGTGAAGAACCTTTTCCTAATATACCTAAACCTCCCCTGACACAGTTTCCTGCCATTCCCTCTGGTTCTAGATTGAATGGACTGCCAGTTAAATAATCAGTGCAACATAAAAATGCAGTCCTGGACTTAAGTTTTATGGCCAGATC